GAATTTGACTTAAACAAAACGAACCGATAGGGATCAAAATGTCTCATTCCATGATAGAAAAAGCCTTGAGTAGAGATCTGTTTGATAGTTTAGTGAAAGAATTTGAACGGAATCAGAGAACAAATTCATATGCTTGGTTCAATAGTGATGTATTACATATGGTACCAAAGCTGTGCTTATTCTATCTTCGTTCTTCTAGAGTTGGGTGTTACACGTGTTTCGCATAGCCTTTTTTCAGGATACAGAGATAAGTGATGGTAAAGATTAAAAAAAAATAATAATATAAGGAAGCTTTTCTTTACGGATGGAATTTGAATTTTAATGTTCTAAATGTGGATGATTTTAATGGTTAGTAATTTTTTCATTAAAACTTTTAGAAATTCTGAAAAATGCAAAAAACGGTTTCAATTGAATATAGCTATGCAGTTCATTATATCCAATTTTCATGCTCTTGGATACTTGCCATATGAGTATGAAATAACATTAAGTGTATCGGAAACTGGACGAGCTCAAAAAATTATGTCATTATATCCGAGGGTTCGTTATAAGCCGTGCTGTCTGCAGCAGGGTTCAACTGTATTTATGTACATCTAAAGCTATAAAAATATACAGTATTACAGAGTTTAAAATCTCACATACATATTTATCCTTTTAGCAGTGGGATAAATTTTATATTTGTCCTCGAAACATTATTATTATTATTAGGCTTATTTCGACGAGAAAAGTTGGCAATAGTCTGAATGTGCGTCGTCTTCTCTTACCGGCGTTTTCGGAAATTATATGAATGATATCCGCTGTCAGTTTTCGGTATCTTAAAATCTTGGTAAGTGTTTCTTATCAGTTAAAAAGATTCGCTTCCATTAATATTTCTTGATCAACATTGCGTCATTATTAGAAGGTAGGTTTATCTCTATACCAGTTTACTCCACCCATTGATGGGGTGATTTCGCTTCGATCGGATGACAGACTGGACCAGTTATTGATTATGCTTCTAAGTTAGTGTAGTCGTACAATGCGGAATCCAGCGGGGTATAAAATTCTGTTGCTATGGTCTTAAAGCGCAGCTCATATATCTGCGTTGCTCTGATCGCTTAACCGCATGTCGCGGAGGATCATTTTGCGCTATTTTACGTATGTAATTCCCATCAATATTCTCATTAGAATAATTTTATTCTGTAATCTGTCGATAGATCTTGAGTAAACAATAATATTTGTGGTCCCTTTTATTTTAATTATTTTTCTTAAAAATTTCATAGAGTAAAAATTGTGGTTGTTATATAATTGCGGTTTGAAATAAATGTCATTGCCCTTTATCAGTAGTTGCTTTTTGTAAGGATTGTTAATCCAAAAGTAAGAATTTAATAATAGAAATAAACAGAATGGGCTTTTTCGAAAGCTTTTATTGTATCTTATGACAAAAGTTAGAGAAAGAAATTGTATAAGAGAAATATAGAAGAATTAAAATTTAAAATCAAATAGAGCTTTACTAAATTTTTTAAAAAAATTATTGCTTATATTTTCAAAAGCATTACATTGTGCAAAGAGTTTATATTGGTGTGAGTATGAGTAAATAAATTTTTGAAAATATCAGATTCTTTGCTTTATATAGTTTAGATTAGAGAAATTACTTTAATAAAATAATTTAATGTTAATTATTTAATCGCAAAGTTATATAGATATTGGTGTGAAAAATTTTCATTTGTATTTCATTTTTTTAAATATATACCCTTCTTTGGCTGATCTTTAGAATATGGTAACTGGTAGTTTGGCGACCATTTTGGAGGCAATAAAGGTTAAACCTGGACTTTGTATAATGTGAGCAGTACTCAGTTTCCGATACGCATTATTTGTGTGAGGGAAATGAGAGATGGGATATGTCATGTGATATGGACGAATTACGGTTCTTAATCGGAAAAGGGGGGAAATCGGGAAAAAATGGAAATTTTGTATGGGCTTTTGGTGTTGTGAAACAGTGTTCGTTAATTTTTGGATCCGGCCTAATACGTGAATTTGAATGGGGATTTAGTGGGATTGAAAGGGGTGTAATAGTGTTCTTTAAGGTTGTGCGAGATAGAAGTAAAGATGTTTATAGTTATTTTAGTTTACTGGTACCTTGCTGTGAATTAAGTATGATTTAAGATCCTGAAACAGGCGCACATAGCTGCTTTTTATTTAGCGGAGGAAGGAAAGGAAATAAGAAAAGTTTATGGAACAGAATCAAGATTCTGAAGAAGATTAGGTAAGTTAGTATTTTTAATTATTGCGGATATTATTTTTATGTTGTTCTAAATGTAAGGTGGAAGTAAAGAATGGTTATTGGGAAAATGTTTAGCAATGATTTAGTTAAGTAATGGATTGTAAGCTAATTTTTTAATTAATGTATATGCTTATTTATATTTTAAGTATGTTGTGAATTAATTATATTAACTATGATAGTTATTTGTGAATTTATGTTGTAGATTTGGTATAGTTTTAGTTAAAGTAAACGGAGGGAAATAATTAAATATTTGACTAGTATTTGTAATGTTTGCGGTATGAATTCATTGGTGAGTGTAAATATATAGAAATTAAGGTAAAGTTTTTGGCTTTTTATTTATTTATACTTGGAAATGTTCATATTTGGAAAGGGTATTATTTTTCGTTATTAGGTAATTCTATATGTTCTTTTACGGTTTAAAGATTCAGAAAATTGTCATGCATTTTCGTGAAATTTTCTAATTTATGAGAAAAAGGAGCTACATGGATATGGTGAAGAGTGTGCACAATGCCATTTTGTGCAATTTGGGATTTTTGTTTTAAGTAAAAAAGTCGACGTTGTACATGGTTTGTATTTTAATTAAATGATAGTTTTTGTGGAATTTGTTTGGAATTTGTACGTTTTAGTTGAAGTAAACGTGCATGGAAATAATTTAAATATTTGACACTAAGTATTGTATAATGCTTGTGGTATGAATTCGTTTGGTGACGTTTATAATATAATAGATGATTTAGAGGTAAAAGTTTTTGGATATTTTATTTATTTTATATGTGGAAATGTTCATATTTGGAAGGGTAGGGTATATACTTTTTCGCGATCAGGTAATTTCAATATGTTCTTTTTCGGGTTTAAAGATTCAGAAAATTGTCATGTATTTTCGTGAAATTTTTCTAATTTATGAGAAAAAAGCAGTGTACATCGATATAGTGAAGAGTGTGCGCAATGCCATTTTTGTGTAATTCTGCGATGGTTTTTTAAGTAAAAATAAGTCGACGTGTACATGGTTTATGTGTATGTGTTATTTTGAAAAAACGCGTAAGGAGTGGTATTGTGCACTTTTTCCAATTTGCAGTAAATATTTGTCATGATTAGCAGTTTTGTTAGATAAAAAAATTTCTAGCATAAGTGTAATTCGGCTAGTAGATTGTTGGAAGAAGTGTTCAGTAGATAAAAAGAAAAGAAACATGTCTTTACTTCGTGAAGACAAAATGGCGGCGAGAAAAAAAAATAGAGGGTTGCTGTAGGAGAGTTGGTCGCCAAATTTTCGTCAAAAAATCGCCAAGTTACCATAATCTAAAGATCAACCATTTCTTTATTTATGCAACTAACTGTAAATGTTAGCATGAATCTAAATATTTTACTTTTATTTATTTGGTTTGATGAATACTAAAAGGATTAAATTTTTTATTTATATGTATTATATTGTATAAAAAGGAATGCATATTTAAGTTTATTAATTTTTAGCATATTTTCATATTAGATTTACTTGCATTTTTATCTCTTTTGTGTATTTTACCCCTAACTTTTTCAGCATATCATTTAGAAACCTATGATTTATGTTAGCCATTTATAAGATATAGAGGCATAGCAGAGTTCAGTATGTAAGGAAAAAGAAAAAGTATTCAAAAGCAATAATTTTAACTGTTTTCTTTTAAATATAGAATGCAGTACAGTTAGAAAATATATTTTATATCCTTTTTAATATATTTAAACCCTTCCTTGAGAAGCAATATATTACATAATTTTTAAGATGCAAAATTAATAAAGAGGGGGAATATAAAAGTAAATATAATTTTCAGCTAATATTATTTCATTTGGTTTGATATAAATTAGGACAAACTAATGACATCCTGTCAGCTTACGTTAAAACGCAATAGAACTTAAAAAATTACGATATTTTACTAGCCTTTTCAAAAGTAGCTACCTGTTTCTTTGTTCTAGTAAGTGATGTGGTAAATAGCTTGCTGCATTGTTATCATGAAAAATAACAAATGTACATACAGGAAAATCTGTTGTATTTGATGTATTGTCCAACATAAAGATTTGGTTAATCTTTGGATTATGCTAACTTGGTGATTTTTGGGCGAAAATTTGGTGACCAACCCTGTTACAGGAACCTGCTAGTTTTGTTTTGTACGCCATTTTGTTTTCACGATGTAAAGGCTTTTTTTTACTCAACATTTTTTCTAACAATCTGCTAGCCGAAATACGCTTGTGCTAGAACTTTTATGGAACAAAAGTGCTTAATCATGACGAAGATTAGGTGCGAAATTGGGAGAAAGTGCAGAATCGCCCACTGCTTGCCGCGTTTTTAAGAATTGCACATACACGGTATCATCCATGTACACGTCAAAAAAAACATCCCAGCATTGCACAAAAATGGCATTGTGCACACTCTTGACTTTATCCATGTACACTGCTAAAGTCCTAGCTAGGAACCTTTATCGCCTTACTAAAATGTACTACTACCTACTAAAAACTACCTGTTACCATATTCCAAAGATTTTAATACTTTTTTCATAACTACTATTTATTTTAAACTGCTATTTATTTTAAAATTTAGTTTTATTTATTTATTTAATGAAGAATGTTATATTTCAGAGCTATTAAAGCTATTAGAATTTAGTTTTTTTTTAATAAATTTCAGTACTGCATATTTCTTTGCATTTGAATTTATTTGGAGAGCGTATTTAGAAATGTATTTATTTAGCAATTTATTTCACTCTTTTATTTATTTTTCCAGGCAAATTTCTTGAAATTAAATCAAAAAAGATTCTATAGTATGGGACGTTTGGATGACAGAGTTAAAACAGTATGGAGAACAGCTGATGCAGTATGCTTTGATGTAGATTCTACGGTTTGTACAGATGAAGCTATTGATGAGCTAGCAAAGTTTGCAGGGAGAGAAAAAGAGGTTGCTGACTTGTAAGTATTTTAAAGCATATTTTATATATATTTGAGGAATAAAAATAATCACAGTAGGTTATTTGTTTATATTTGTACTCTGAATTTATTTATGAAAGGTACAAAAGTATTAATATTATATATTACATTAGTTATTAGCAAATAGCATATATACTTTTCAGGTGTATAGTGGAAATTTTGATAATCATATAAGTATAAAATACATATTCGTAATTACTGAAATAGTGAAAAATGCTAATTCTTGGATTAAGTAAAAATGAAAGAGGTTTAATTTCTAGCTTTTCTACTTTTTGCTGGAAGTAAGCTTTTAATAAGCCTATCAATGTTATAAGTATTTGAATGAGGAACACGAAAAAGGTATATCTTTATTATAGCGGCTCTGTTGTTTAGCGAATTTAATATAATTAGGTGATTCATAAAAATCAAAATTTTAATTTGTAATTATTCAAAATTTGAGCTACACAACAAGTTTGGTTATATTCTTTTATTTGGCTTATTAATTCTAGTGTAATCTATTTCGGCTATTCGAGTTTACGCGAACTGCGTCTTCAAACTTGTACACTCAGACAACGGATATAGGTGAATTTTTCATGTAATAAACTCAGTTTCTCATGTTAAATATTAATTTGATTTCTTAGTATTTAATATCATTAGTTGCAGGAAAATTAGCTCCTTAACTTGAGACTACTTTCGTAATCCTAGCTTTAATCAATTTTTAGTTATGGCCTCTTAATTATTAAAACTTCCTAAGTTTTTCTTCTAAAAAAAAGGGGGGAAGAAGAGTTTTGAAAGTTCACTTTCAACGAAAAAATGTGCGTTCTTTGGACTTGGAAAAGCCATTTCCTGTCAGGGTTGCCACGTTTTACAAGCGCATGTGTTTAGGCGTGGCCTCATCTCGGCGCGATTTCTGACGAGTTTTAGTTGGGAGATCCGTTAAAAATTCATACTGGTTGGATTTGGTAAAATTTTGCATTGCTTAAGGCAGGAGTTTTTGGTACTGGTCTTTTCACCTTTTCGGGCAGGGGTTTAGCCAAGTTGGCTGCCCCGTCTTGGCTAAAAGGGGTTGTTTTTCCGGGAAACAGAGACTTGACACTTTTACGCTTCGCTTCTCAGCTCACCCCTGACACCAGCTCTTGGAGTTTCTGTTTTTTATTATTACGCAGTTTCTGGACGATGAGCGTCTCTTTCCTTTCTCGGAGCCTTTGGGCCCGAGACAATTTCGTGCGTCAATAAATAGTAGTCAACTTGCATTCGCCTGATCCTTTTCACATCAATGAAAACCTCAGTTATGAAATTTATGGAACCTGATTACCAGCTTTTAAATTGCCTCTCTACCGTTCTGAATCCTGATGGACAGTCAACTTGCTTTCGCCTGATCCTTTTCACTTCAATGGAACCTCAGTTATGAAATTTATGGAACCAGATTACCAGTTTTAAATTGACTCTCTTCTGTTCTGAATCCTGATGGACAGTCAAGGGTATCCACTGGCCTGAATTAGCTGTTACATGTTCCTGCCAGGAGACCTCGGTTTTGGATCCTCAGTTGGGTGATATTAAATTTTTCTTGTTATTTCATTAAATTCAGATATTTCTTAATCTTAAAATCTGCAAGATCTCGCAGAGTTGTTATGGGTGAGAGTGAGGTTAATTGTTAAAAGAAAAAAAAAGGGGAGGTTGCTCTTCCAATTAAATTTAATAAAAAAAATGAGTTATGCATAAAGTGAATTATTTTTGTTTGGAATTATTGATGTTAATAATAGCCCAGTAGTTTTCCTAATAATAATAATAATAAATAAATAAATAAATAAATAAAAAAGAAGTAAAATGAATTAGGTTCGTTATCATTATCCTTATTATTAGAGTTATCTGAAAAAAAAAATTACAAAGTTCTAAAGGCTCGTTCTTAAGGAAATTACCTTGTTTTTGTCACTATTATTATTATTTGAAGAACCGTAAAAGTAAACTGAAATATTCAGCTAAAGTTAATAGTTAAGGTTCAGAATGTAAAAAGTTATATCTTGTAGTTCTGCAGTAAAGGAGTGTTCTCTGAAACCTAAATTAGTGCTAATAGTCTGTACAATTAAGTCATTACTCTAGTATAAATTCTGTGGAATGTAATTCCTCCTGGACCTCCTGGAAATTTTTGTTAAGGTTGCTCTCCTTTGAAAACTGATTTTTATGTGTGTGCAATAAGGGTGTAAATTCAATTATATCTGAAAAATTTTGAAAATTGTTCTATAGAAAACCTATTAAGCAAAAGTATAGAAATATGTTACACTTAATAAAAGTAATAATGGCATTAAAGATTATGTACAATATTGAGAGATAAGTCTATTAAAAAAAAGTAAAGCCTTTTGTATTAAGGATGAATTTTTACACCTTAGAGATTTATCTTATGTTGAATATTTTTTTTTTTTTTATATCCCGGGAATATCTTTAATAACTATAATATCTATTTTATTGATTCTATCATATGATATTTTAAATTGAAGGATGTTTTTTTTTTCCAATAAACAAATTTGTTTTCATTGAAATATTTAAGTGTATTTTTTTTTTTTTATTTACTCATATCATTTATCATTTCACCCCGTCACCAAAAAATAAATTAAGGGTTAATCCGATTACGCAACGCAACGCTAAGTAAATGTTTTGGCTTATTGGGATTAATATATATAACTGTCGTTAGAAAAATTTAGTGTCAACTGAGTAGGAAGCCTTTCAGGTACCTTAGTTAGCGAACGACACAACAAAATTGGTGCCGTTCCCTTTCGAACCAACTTAGCACCTAACAATTTTTTTTTGTACTGTGATTTTTGCACCACCTTTTGGCTTGCACTTATAATTGAACTTAATTTTGACTTGAGAATATTGATTGTCATGTGTACTATTGCATATTTATGTGAAAGTTTTCTTCCACGTGTCTAGGCTTTTTACTGAAACCCTACTCGTTAGTTGGTTACAGTGACAGGCCTATACAGTGGTCATATTTCTGTGCTTATTTTATACTTATTACTTGAGGTTGCATACCAGATATGTACTAGTGATACACACTTGGACTTTTGAAACTATTGTATCCAAACGCAAACATTTTCACGCAGTGCCTTAATTTGTTTAGTGAAGTATATTCTTTATGTGCAAAATTTTGTATTGCATTTTTACATATTGAGGTTTGAAAATTACTGTTTCACATTTTTGCAATTGTATGTTTGCAACATAAGGTTAGAAGGCACGCTTGTTAATCACATATTGGGATACATCCCTACTTTTATGTGCTGGCAATTGATGATTGCAGTTTTAAAATGCCAAAGAAAGTGTCAAAACGAGCAGCCAGAGCGGCTAGTAATAGTGTGATAGACTGGAAGGAGAGTCAAGAAATTATGGCTCTATCAGTTTTTGGTTCTGATCCTCTGGATTCTGTTCCTCTGTTCTCAGGTGCAGACAAGGGAATTAGTCTGAATGACTTCTTAGATAGGATTGATCTCATTGCCACTCATGTGGGTTGGTCAGATGAAGACAAGTTAACAGGGATCAGAGTCAAGGTGGCAGGTGAGGCTGCTGAATTAATTAGGAATAATCCTAGATTAAAGAAAGAAGCCAGTCTTGAGTATGTCGTGAAAGTGTTGAAGGAGAGGTTCAGTTCAGTGCACAATTTGCACTCTAACATCCGTGCACTTATCCAGGCTTTTCAGAAACCAAACGAGTCAGTGCGCCAATTTGCAGCATGTATAGAGGCCCTTTCGTACAAAACTGTACCAGTGGAAAGAAGCAGTGACCCTGCAGCAAAAGCACAGAGGCAGGATTTACTTCTGTCAGTGTTTATCGAAGGATTGCAATTGCATTTGCGACGCTTGTTGCTGCCACAGAATCGCAAAATTTTTGCATCTGCTAAACAGCATGCAATTATTGAAGAAGACATGTGGGCTAAGAGCCATGCTAGTAGTGATTTTGCAACAGCTGAGGTTAGAGCGGTGAATGCTGCTAAGCCAGCAATCGAAAAATCAGTTACAACACCATCAGTAACCAACTCAGAGCTCACTACAGCTATTAAAATGCAACAAGAAAATATAGCTCAGCTTACTAAAATGATGGGCTTCTCTTCAAACACAGGTGCAGAAGTTTAATATCACAAAGTACTCGTTCAAGACCCATACAGCCTCATTGTTACAGATGCAACAGAATAGGGCATGTTAGCAGGGACTGCTGTGCAAATATTGTGCCTAATCAGCACTCTAGACAGGGTCAACAGAGATAACCAAACAAGAAATAACCAAACAGCCAGGAGACATCCTAATAACACCACACCAGCTGTTTCGGGTACTCCAAATACCACAAGTGTGGCTACAAATGCTTTGAATCCCCAAGCACCAAGTTTTAATTCAAACTAATTCAGGGTGGGGAGAAACCAGTCTCCGTTTCGTCTCCTAAAACCCTTTTGGAGGTGCCATCAGTTTTTACAGTGTCCACTAGTGAGGCGTCTTTGCCTACTGTGCAGGGATCTATTTTGGGGAATAAAGTTAAGTTTTTATTGGACTCGGGGGCAACTGTAAACATCATAGAAGCTAAATACATTAAATGTTTTGGAAGTAAAATCTCATTGGACTCATGCAATATATATTTAAAGGGTATAGCTGCAGAAAAAGTAAAAATAACTAAGAAAACTGATTTAATTTAGTGGTAGATTTCCAACAACAATATTTTGAAACAGAATTTTTGAATTACTGACACACCTCTTTCATCTCAGTATGGTGCTTTATTAGGAACTAAATTTCTTGTAGCAGACATAATATGCATTTGGATTTCTCCACTTCTCAACTGTTAGGATCAAATGTAATTCTTAAATGGAATTTAAGTCAGCCTAGTGCTATGAATAGTAATGTTTTCTCTACTTCAGTTTCTCAGTCATTTTGTTACTCTGTAACCAAACATAAATTACCACCTTTTTCAGAAAACATCATTAAGATCACTGCTCATTCTGCAAATTTTACTACTAATACTGTTTT